TTCGGAGGGAAGATCGACGTATAGTATTGACCTTGTTCTATAACAACCTAGCCTTATGGTGCAACAACGTGTTACTGACATAACGCGAGTTGATTCTCAGGCCGTGTCCCATACCTGCTGAGATGATTTTTCATCGAAAGCAACAGTGCGATTGAGAACAAAAGCTGTCTAGAATTTTGACCAGCAGTTAAGACGCCTCCAGGCATCATACCACTCAGAAAGCCAAGATGTATGCTTCAAAGTGTACCATATCAAATAGTCGTGTTTCAACACTTAGAGCGTTTTGGGTTAGGCTGTGCACGCCCCGTACGAATCAGTGCATAAGTCTGAATAGCAACCATAAGTGTAAAATGTCATCATCCGTGTCTGAGTATAGCATAGGATTAGAACATACACTACTTACTACGCGATGTTCACGTCGATCATTATCACAACCAGGCTTGAAGTTATCTATCACAAGCCGGTGTAGCTTGTGTAAGGTTGCCGTTTCACCGGTTTTATAACTCTGTCAGTATCTGTACAACGAGCTTGAGATGATTTGCCGCGCACACCAAAGTAGATACATGCATGAATGCATGTTTATAGAAGCTGTGCACATATGCGTATGTGTGCGTATGTATCTATATATTTATACATACATGCACATACATTCTTGTATATTTGGATACTGAATGAGTGTGTCCAGGTGGCAGTACTGCAACCGCTCTTCCATTTGATGACAGTGAATGTAAAACACTGCTGCATAGCTTTAAAGTTATGAACAGGAGTCAGAATATGATAGACTATGCTAAACTATGTAATTTCTTGAATATCTCGGCAGGTATAAGTACCACACCGTGGTGTAGCAGGAACATGGAACAAACAAGGGATCTCCACACCTACAAATATATGAAGCGTATGAACAAAACTAAGTATACATGCTGCAGGGCTGCCACACCCGCCTCCCCCCCCCACCCCATGGTATCCTCCCCCCTTCCCCCCGCCCCCCCTGTGGTGTGGGGCCTGTGGTGGTACTCTTTTTGCCGCGACGTTCTTATATGTGTTACTCCTTGTCTTCCCTCTTGCTGTGGCACCGGTGATGCTGCTCATGATGTTGAGCTGCTCTAGACCGGGACATGAGTCGACAATCAGACCATGCTCAACATCATCCTTGTCGTTGTCATCTTCATTAATGCCATCGAAAGAATATCTGCCACCATCACCATCGCCATACAACCTTCATAATTCAGCATTGCAATTCATGTCACATGCTGGAAACTACTGCGCCGATTGCCGCTTTCTGCACACGACAGGGCATAGTGCGACCCCCCCGATCTGCGCACCAGGTGAAGGGGCGGGCAGGTGCGGGCCGGGGGCGGGCCGAGGCGGGCAACAGGGCAGCAGGGGGGGGTGGTGGGGGGATACCATTGGGGGGGGGGGGGGGGGGGGGGGGGGGGCGGCCCGCGACCCGAGAGCATATATTACAAAAGTGTGTTATGGTGTAGGTGTCACTTCGAAAAACCAGCGGGAAAATTGATACGATAATTCCTTGTTGTACGTAGTAAAAGTAGTGCGTGCTATTTGTATTGAAAGGCCGGTTAAACGATTAAACGGGTTGTCCTTCGATATGTGTTACATCCATCGCAAAACGCGTTCACTGAATGTTTAATGGAGCTGCTGCTAGTAAGGAAGCCCGCTTGAAGTCCTTCGGGGGCGCAGAGCTCCTCGCAGTCTTGGTGCGGATCTAAAATGTTGATCTCGTGTTGCAAAATGCGGGCTGTAGATGTGGAGGACGAGGAGTGCTTCAAAGCAGAACAGATGTTTTTAAACAGATTGGTTCATCGAGATAGTGAGTTCAGAGCTGTGCATCCAACTTGAACCTCCACTATGGTCCTCACTCTCAATGCGATCAAAACTAGCGGGCGCATGCGGTTGCAGACGGGCGCACCATCATAGAGATGTCCAACCGGCGGACGAGCAGAGGACCAGGACGAAAAGAGCCAACAAAAACAAAAGAACAAAAGTCCACGCTGTTTCACCGAAAAGGATTATGCATCTTGTTAGAACATGCGAAAAACTTCAAAAGTTTTGATGACACGCAGAAGAGTCAGTTCAAGATTATAAGGATCCTCTAAAAATGGCCAGACCACGCGTTCTTACCAGTTCTTACCTGGAAAAGGGCTGCTGAAAATACCCTTGACGCTTGAATTGTCGTAAGATTTTCCGGAAAGAAATGAGCATTATAAAGCATTTTAATGTTGCTATAGGACGGTTACGAACAAAACGCACGCACAGATTTTGAGACTACACCAGGGTTTGGGCCAGTGTGGAAATCTTTTGGTATGTTTAGTATGTTTTGTGGTTTTTGGTTTTGTTAGGAACACAGGTGTGAAAACAAGAACCGTGCTATAAAACATACACGTCAACACGAGGACACATGTACATTCACTGGCATGTCGAGCACATGCAGAAAAGAAAAGTCCCCAAACAGGCCCTAGACCTATGTAACATGTAAAGGAGCATCTCAAACAGCTGTAAACCGAACAGTCATTCCTGTAGACACAACAAGACCGGCAGTGGCAGCAGCAACAACAGCAACAAGAACAGCCACAACCGTTTATGCGGACCACTAGCTAGAAGGGCTGTGAGATTTTGTATCGTGGGTATGCAGAGGGCCTGCACCCTTACTTGGACAGGTTGTTTTTCTGAATTCCGCTTGCACCCAACTACCAACTACGATCCTGAAACACCGAACCACGACGCAACAGACGCAAAACCCGAAAGCCCTGCAATTTAGAAATTTGAAACCCCAAGCCCTACACCCTGCACGCAAACCCAAACTCTTACACACGAACGTTGCCAGGAGCCCATGGTCACAGCTTTACAAGGCTGGGAGTCGATGTCGGACCTTTACAAGTAAGGCAGTGCAGAAAAAGCCACATAGTTTTGGATCAGGATTTTGGGAATAAGGGTTTAGGGATTGTAGGGTGGTTCCAAAGGCTTTTGAAGGAGGAGCCTCTGGGATTACACATGCTGGTCAGGTATCCTAAACATAGACCCAACCTTATGCCCGTTTCGGGAACCGGTACTTTGCGCAACTACAGAATCTTCAGCTTGGGTTCGCCTAGACACTTAGACACTTCTCATTCCGAAAACCCTCGTAACCATAAACCTAAACCGAAAACCTTTCCTTCCGCTTGTGTTGCAGCTCAGGGTATTGATTGCGTTTATGGTTTAAGTGCAGCTGTTCCGGGAACCGGGCTGAGACAGGTCCAGGAGCAGTCCGGACATGGATACCCCTACATTATCGACTTCGTAACTTGTGTTGGCCAGTGGGTAATCTGCAACCTTTGTGGTGTGGTATATATATGAAGCCTATGGGAAACGTGATACCCTGGCGTGATGTTTGCAGGCCAGGACTGTGTTTGCACTTTCGCAGACGTTGACATAAGGTCCGGGCTTGTTTTGATAAGGTACTGTGGGATGTGGTTTGAGCTTTCACGGGAGCACAGGCTTGGGCAATTGAAGACCAATGCTCGCATCCGGTGCATTTTTTCCGCGAGCCTTCGAGTAAATCTCTTCGTGGCTTCAACGGGTAGGTGCGTGTAGGTTGCATTGCGGTGCGCAGTCCAGCACAGGGGAACAGCCCGAAGTCCAGTACTGTAGCCCCCGTAGCCTTCATCACGCGGCCTATCGCGGCTTGAATACTCTGATCAGCACAGACTTGTGATCTGATGAAGTGCTGCCTGCTACTTGCAGCAGGACCGCGTGCAGAGGAGAGTGCTGCAGTCGGCTTCGCGGACATTACGAAGGTGCGTGGCGTACATGGGATGATGCATAACCCTAACCCGAAGCGGCTTTGGCATGAAGCCCAGTTCTTGTTTCAAGACAACTGAAAAAATCAAGATTGAAAGGGTGCAGGGCTTAGGAAGCACCGACGGAGTGACCCGAAATCTTCACACAAGGGGATGATGATTGTTTGGTAGATCCCAAAGCCCTCAATGACTCCAGAAAGAAGACTGGTTCTAGGATGCCATACGATGCCTAAGCATGTGGCCCATGTATTTGAACCAAACCCGAATTTTTCATCACGAACATGGGATGACGCGACTGCTGCGGCTCTGGCTACGGGTGGTCTTGACACCTTCCGGGCACACCTCCCGCAAGCGGAGACCGGACTTATCGCCACAAGAGGACGCGTTTCCAATGCAAGAGCCGCTGCTGCTGGGCTTTCAGCTGAAGTTGAGAGGCAAGCGTTGCGCAGGCCCCGTTCTGTCGTGCCTGGCGGCTGCGAAGCAGGTTTGTGTCTAGTTGCCTTCGATGTATGCGTCTTGGCCGGGTTCGATTCTTGGTGTCGCGTTTGGCCTCCCCACAGGTCTTCGGTTTTTCGGGGCTTCAAATTCGGATGCATACAACAGGAGTAGTTGTAGACCGCAATCCTTCAACCGGAATCTCCCATCTGCAACGCTCAGCAACCTCAGCCCTCGCAGTCCACATTTGCCTGAGATGACAAGGAAGTCACACCGAAGAGATCGAGATCCAAGGGCAAGGCCGAGACGGGTTGTCTGAAATTGGCGTCGTTCCAGACCCTGGATTTCTCCAACTCCCATATCCCACTGACAGCTATCATTTGGAGTATGTATGGCTAGGGCTAGGAGGGTTCAAGGCTTGGGACTTAAAGATTGTGAGACTTTGCGTATAGGCATCCTTTCCGTTTTCCAGCAACGCAGAGCCCACACTGATAAGGACCCCCATGGACCCACCAGCCATCCTAAAATGTGGGTATCCCCGTGCAGTGCAGGTCAAGCGAAAAGCCAAGACCAAGCCTGCCGTGAACGGAGAGGCCTTGGCCTCGGTCAACGGGAGGACGGAGTTTGGGTCCAGGCAGTAGGGGGTCTTTTTTGGATGTACAGCTGCAGATGTGGTGATCGAATGAATTGTTGAGCGCCGGGAGAATGTCTTCAACCTCTGGTGTCCAGCAACCTGTGGTGTCGACGGAGTTGCCCGCAGTGTGCACTAAGGACGAGACCGTCGACGTGGTTGTCGAAGGCACTCATGCTTCATGTGCCCGCAGCAGCAGCCACAACTTCATGCTTCGCTAACCGCTAGTGGTGAACAGTGACTCGTGTCGCAAGAAGCTTGTGTCAGCCCACAGCAGCACGGCGATCTCCGATTCGACAGGAAGGGAGACGCTTGAGACGAGTGCCGTTGACATGGAGGCATGACTTCCAGAATCAGTGCGGTAGCTCGAAGAGGCTGTGCAGCTCCAGGTGGACCCGACGGCCCCGGTGCCGCAATCAACAACGCGAGCCACCGTTTCCATTGAAGAGCGGCGACAAGGCTTCGACGTAGTTCTGAAATCTGCACGAAAGGCTGAGGCAGAGAGGAGCTTCTGTACGGACGTTACCTGGAGGCTCCGAGGTTGTGAATGACAGCATCTCGCTGAGCTCTGATGCTCTGCGGTATACGGGGTTTGTATCTGGGAGTTGTCGGTCCCCGTGCCTTGTGTGTGTGTCGTGATGGAGAAGCCAGTCTGAGGACGTTGTGCACAAGAAGACAAAGGTCAAGTGCAAAGCCAAGGCAATTGAAAACAGATCGTGTCTCCCCTGCGCGAAACACAGAGCTTCTTCCCGATTGCTGCAGGTAAAGAAGAAGGTGGAAAAGCCGATCGACGAGATTTCGCCCGCAGCATCCTGGTCCCAGCACTTCATGCACGTGCCGTTGTGCTGATTTCTGCTCTTCGAACGGTGTCGGATGAGTTGTCCACTGTGTGCGCTAAGGAGGAGACCGTCGACGTGGTTGTCGAAGGCACTCATGCTTCATGTGGCCACAGCAGCCAGCCCACGGCAGCACGGCGATCTCCGATTCGACAGGAAGGGAGACGGTTGAGACGAGTGCCGTTGACATGGAGGCATGACTTCCAGAATCATTGCGGTAGCTCGAAGAGGCTGTGCAGTTGCAGGTGGACCCGACGGCCCCGGTGCCGCAATCAACAACGCGAGCCACCGCTTCCATTGAAGAGCGGCGACAAGGCTTCGACGTAGTTCTGAAATCTGCACGAAAGGCTGAGGCAGAGAGGAGCTTCTGTACGGACGTTACTCGGAGGCTCCGAGGTTGTGAATGACAGCATCTCGCTGAGCTCTGATGCTCTGCGATATACGTGGTTTGTATCTGGGAGTTGTCGGTCCCCGTGCCTTGTGTGTGTCGAAATGGAGAAGCCAGTCTGAGGACGTTGTGCACAAGAAGACAAAGGTCAAGTGCAAAGCCAAGGCGATCGAAAACAGATCGTGTCTCCCCTGCGCGAAACACAGAGCTTCTTCCCGATTGCTGCAGGTAAAGAAGAAGGTGGAAAAGCCGATCGACGAGATTTCGCCCGCAGCATCCTGGTCCCAGCATTTCATGCACGTGCCGTTGCGCTGATTTCTGCTCTTCGAACGGTGTCGGATGAGTTGTCCACTGTGTGCGCTAAGGAGGAGACCGTCGACGTGGTTGTCGAAGGCACTCGTGCTTCATGTGCCCACAGCAGCCAGCCCACAGCAGCACGGCGATCTCCGATTCGACAGGAAGGGAGACGCTTGAGACGAGTGCCGTTGACATGGAGGCATGACTTCCAGAATCAGTGCGGTAGCTCGAAGAGGCTGTGGAGTTGCAGGTGGACCCGTCGGCCCCGGTGCCGCAATCAACAACGCGAGCCACCGCTTCCATTGAAGAGCGGCGACAAGGCTTCGACGTAGTTCTGAAATCTGCACGAAAGGCTGAGGCAGAGAGGAGCTTCTGTACGGACGTTACCTGGAGGCTCCGAGGTTGTGAATGACAGCATCTCGCTGAGCTCTGATGCTCTGCGGTATATGGGGTTTGTATCTGGGAGTTGTCGGTCCCCGTGCCTTGTGTGTGTGTCGTGATGGAGAAGCCAGTCTGAGGACGTTGTGCACAAGAAGACAAAGGTCAGGTGCAAAGCCAAGGCAATCGAAAACAGATCGTGTCTCCCCAGCGCGAAACACAGAGCTTCTTCCCGATTGCTGCAGGTAAAGAAGAAGGTGAACAAGCCGATCGACGACATTTCGCCCGCAACTGCCTCAGCAGTTGGTTTCGATTATTTCGATTTTTCACGAGCATCCAAGCGTAACATGTCTTTTGAACAAAGCTGGCGAGCGCGTCGGCGCAGTCGCCTATTGTTTGCTGTATTCGGGGCGTTTGTGCAAGTATTGTTTGTGTCCTAGTCCATCTCTTTTATGGTCCGGAACGGAGAGGTCCAGTCTGTTACCTGCTCATGTCCCGTGTAGTCGTCCCGTGTGTCGTCGTGTATCGCACATCTGTGTATGCCAACCCGGGAACCTCAACCCGAAACCCCAAAACTTTAAAACCTTAAACCACCAAATTACATATGCATGCGCCCAGGAAGGGCATCTCGTCATCGATGTGTCAGGCGCAAGCTTGAGGAAGTTATGGAAGGTGCATGAATGTGCTGGATGGAGTAGCCGTCAGTGAGCATATGTTCATGCCGGACATGCGAAAGTGTCGTACCAAAGGAAAAGCGCATACGGCCTACATTACCAGCAATGCATATCCGAAAGCTTCCCAAACTCTCCAGCCTTAGACCTTATCTACTACAATCGCGAATGGGTCCCGAACCCTCAACCTTAAACCCGAATGTCCGAACTTTCGATATTAACACCCCACAGCCTTTGGATAGCCAAAAGCCATCGACTGTTACCAGATACGATGAGTTCGGAGATGGTCGAGGGTGCCATCAGTCTTGAGGCCTAGTTGCTTTATGTACACGGCTTTGTGTGTAGCGTACACGTTTTTGATGGGGGTTTGCGACGGTGCGGTATCATGGATGCCAACACCATCGCCGTCGATGAAACCACCGAATTACAAGAAAGAGATTTACTCATGCGTGCTGTACTTTAGCCGGGCGTGTTAACATTTTTCCCTGCATTCCTGTCACGACCCGTAGTTTGACCATGTGTGATGGCTGTTGTTAGGAATCAAGTGTGGGGATTTGGAAGTCGTGCTGCGATGTCGTGATGCCATGTGAAAGCTCTGCGTGTTCGTGCTTCGGACTCACGGGCTTAGCTCTAGCCGAACGGCATTCAATGAGGTCTTGTTTATGTGGCACTCGCAGCTAGGATGTGACTGCAAGCGCCAGGAAGTGGCCTTCGAAGAGGCGATTTCCTTCAGTGCACCAGGCCGACGGGTGTCGTGACAGTACTACAGGTAGAAAGGATGGCTGTAATGAGTACGAAGTTGCCGTCTTCAGCTGGTATTGGTACTGCTAAAGCTGATGCTGAGGCTGATTCTAATGCTACTGCTAATGCTAATGCTGGTGCCGCTGCTGCCGCTACTGCCACTACCACTACTGCTACTCCTCCTACTCCTACTACTGCTGCTGCTACTACTACTACTACTACTACTACTACTGCTACTACTCTTCCTGTCTTGCTCCTGCTCCTCCTCATACTCCTTGTCCTAGTCCTGCTGCTGGTCGTGGTCCAGCGAAAACGGCAGAGCGACTGGCTCGCTCAGCTTACTAGCATCATCTCTACTCGCAGGCTCTGGACATCCAACAGATCGGTTGTCGGCTTGAGGGTAGTAGGTTTTTGTGCGAGGCCTCGACATTAGGCTGCCGGATACAGAAACCTACCTGGCTTTGAGACCATACGTCCTACAGGCGACCTACCCTGGCACAGCCATGTGCATGGCGATCGGGGTGACATCTCCGGTACGCAGGCACTGTTTCGCGTTAAGGGTTCAGGGTTTTCAAGCTTCAGGATTTCGCAACTACAGGTAGTAGTCTTGCTGCTACGATGCTGACTTCAAGAACTCCGGTCATTGCCCTTCTCTTTTGCTACAGGACTTGGTGGCTCTCTATCACGTCAGGATTTGGAGATGCGAAGGTTGCTTTTTTGTCGTTTTCAGGCTGTCGCAATTTACATGAGGATGAGACGCTGTTTCCAAAGGCATACGCGTTAGTGCTTTCGGTTTGTCTCAAAGGTCAACTCAGTTTCTTCAAGGGTTTCGCTTTGGCGCTGCTGAGCTTGGTCTTTTTCTGCGAGATGTCTGCTGCTGTAGCGTTTTTTCTGAGCATTGATTTCAAGGCGCAGCACGGCTTTGGCGCTGGGGTAGATGTGATACGTGTCTCTGTTCTTATTGCGCAAACAGCACAAACCCTAAACCTTACGCCAAGAGCCTAAAAGGCTACCCCAAAAGCACACCAACCTGCAAACACTGAAGCAGGCACCGGAACAGAAGTACATCAAAAAGATTCCGCAAGACAAGGCAGGGACGGCTAAGGTTGTTGGCTTCGTTCTCGGGTTGCGTGCGACTGGAAACTTAAGAGCTCCGGGGCCTCAGGCGTCAGAGCTGCGCGGCTTCGGGATACTTGAGGGTACACGGAATTCCTGAGCTCCACATCTGTAGACCCGGACGTCTCAAACTCTAGTCTAGTTGTCCCATAGGACATGGATCGGAAAGGTAGAGAAGGAAGTTGTCCAGGGGTCGCCGGCGCCAATAAGGCTGCAAGGCCGCTTTCGAAGAAAAATCCCACACCTTCAATTCTTTGCAAAGTCTTCCCAATACGATCAAGAAAGCGCCACCAAACCACACCAAACAAATCTAAAAATCCCGACGCAGGTCGCCGAAGCCTCAGGTGCTTGGTCTGCTCATGGTGCTTACAGGATCGAGTGGCTTAGTAAGGCTTGAGGGTGTGGAATATAATTGGACTTTAGCATGCCAGAGTTTTGGATTCAGAGGTTGGGGCTTAGGGTTTGGACCGCGGTGCCTGGCTATGATGATATCGTGAGACTTGCTTGATGCCTGTGACTGGCCGGTTGCAGTCAGCATCAGATCCGCAGAAAGATGATTGCCATCCTTGTTTTCGAGTTGCTTCCTGTCATCATGTGCTATGGGCCACCACTACGTTCATGATTGTTGCTTCGCTGTGATGCTTTTTGAGAGGTTTGAGATATCGCAGGAATCATGAACTCCTTTGTCGCCCCTGCCGTCATGGATGTGCGTTGGGGTAGTGGGGATGTCGAAGATGAAATATGTTGTCAATAAACATGACAGGCTCCATACTCCAACAGCGTGCAGTGCAGATCAACCCTTCGCGCTCTTTAAGTTTTGAACTTTTTCGTAGGGTCGGTTGGGGATTCACACAGGTCGGTGCGAACCATGTTGACAAGCCATGGCACTAGCGCTCTTACTGTCATCAACTTCACCACCATGCAAGGGTGGTGCATCTTGCCCGCTTGACATGCCCAGGCCATATCAAACATGTATCCTCAAACCAAAGACCAGAATCAGGCTCTAAGCCGCTGTCGTAAACAGCAGCAGTCGCATGAGAAGCATCAAGTGCTGTTTAGTAGTGGTCTGGGGCTGGGGGAAATCCATCTGAACTGTCATCATGCTGGCCAGCTGCCGCAGCTGAACCCGAAGATCAGACTGAGACATGGTAGCTTGAGGAAGTTTAGTGCTTAGGGCAGTGGGTCCTGCCCTCTTGTAGCGCAGTGCCCGCTCTGTCGTAGCAACTGGAGCCCTTCGGCAAAAGTCGACAGGTTTCCAGGATTAGCTGCTGACTGGATTTGTTTCAGGCTTGCCCCTCATAAATGACATAATCGTCAACAACACGCAATTACAGCAGTTGCCGTAGCAGTACAGCAGTGTGTTTGAGGCGATCGAAAATTTCAGATCCCCATATGCTCTGATGCGCAACGGTTTGCCCTGATGGAAAGCCATAGCTCTGCAATGTGATTGCGAGATTCTATTTGCACATGTTAGCTGGTCGTCGCTAGAGGGCTTGTTTAGAGTGTAGGGTGCCGTTGTTTTCGGATTTGGGTATCATTTATGGGTGTGGGCTAGAGTCCTTCGGCAGGCTTTTGGGATCCGCCAGCAGCTAGTTCTTATTTTGTTCGGGCGCTGCTCTTCGAGCTTAAGCCGGCTTTAGATGGTGGCTTCCGCGCATGATTCATCCCGAATACCCTATAGATTAAAGCGACACGGCTTCCCAAAGCCTACATGACAGGGTTTACTGTCTCAGATTTGGGTGATACTTAAGATCAAGCCGTGATCGAAGAGTGAAGCAGCCAGCGGTGCACTTCAGACTCCTGCACGGGCGCGGCAGGAACTCAATGTCGTTCCGAGCCACTTGAGGAAGGTCTGTAGTTGCGCGTGTCCTCTCTTACCAATACGATACAGGGTGTTGAGCTGTCGCGCTGTTCTGTGGCAAGACAGCACTGCTATGGCAAATACATAACGTGCAATCAGTACCAACCCCAACGTACTAAAACCTGCAGTTCTAAAGCTTGAAACCACATGGCATCGGAGCTTCATAAACGCAGGGCATGACGGCCTAGCAGTAGCCGTATGAGGACGCCGGAAAGGATGCTTCAGTTGTTCAGAGCCTCCAACTTGGTGCAGAAGCAGTTGAGGCGGCCCGGCTTGGAATCCTACATTGCTGTGCAGATCACAGTCTCGTATCCTGACATTTCTGTGCAGACTCTACCTTGTTTCTTTGCTGCGGGTCTTGTTTGTGATGCTAACTAATACTGGCTTTTAAAGACACTGAAAAAGATCAGGGATCAAGTGCAGGTTGTGAAGGCACGGGAGTTTGGACTCGCATTCAACGATCCCTCATGAGTTTCTGTGCGCACATGAAGCCGAAACACGGTTCAGTTTGAAGCTCCAAACTCTCGGGCACCAAAACCCTAGAGCCCTCACCGTGCACCCCAACAGCTCGAAGCCTTGCACCTGTCGAGTGGCCCTCCGGCATCCAAAGAGACTTTATCTTACCTGCTGGCTGCAGACACTGCAGACATCACAGGCCTCAGTCGCGAAGCCATCAAACCTAGTTGGGATTCAGGGATTGAAGACCCAGAGTTTTCAACACCTGACACCCAGATCCTAAAATTTACATTCTGACTCTATGCCCTGATGCCCCGGAAGTGCAAGAAGGTGAGTAGCCGACAGCTAAGCTGTGTCCGCTGACGCGGTCGGGTTCGGTGCCGTGCCTGTGGCAAGTATCCGAGTTGTTAACGAACATCTCCGGATGTTTCCATTTGAGCCTGGGTCTGTTTAGATGCGCTGCATTGGTGGCGACGCTGACTCATACATCTTGAAGCTTGGAAGGATGGGGTTGTTTAGGGTGTGACTTCGTGGCGCTTTGTACCTGAAGCCTGAAGCTCCCATTTTCAGTATGTCGGGTATTCAGGGGTTGTGGACATGAGGGTCCGATTGAAATCGGGCACCATTGAGTCGAAATTCCCGTAGGTCCTCTCATCATCCCGAACCCCGACGTTAGTTCTCAGTTTGAAATCAATTCATAACTCCGACTCCGAGCCTCCAGGACAAACAAACACGCACATGAAACCTTGTAAAGCCATGCAAGCAAACCCGTTCGCAAAATTTTCGCGTACCCGAAAAAGTCTGAAGGCCTGCTACGACACATAGTTGTGTGATGTGCAGGGCATAACCAGAACAAAGGCGAATGCGAGCAGTAGCCATCTAAGGCTCAGCCGCCGCGAAGACTGAAGAACCCAGCTCAGCAAGCAACCACGAAGACCGTGCAATCGCAGCTCCAGATCCCAAGAGGAGGCCATCATCCATGGTCCTCAGCCACGCACAGCTCCCGCAGAAAGAAGACAAGTCTGAACGCCTCCGTCCATGAAGACGAGCCTCCTGTCAAAGTGCAGCCAATGCACATCGCCGCAGTCCGTAGGCCTTTCCTGCACAGAGAGGTAGGGTCCTCCATATTGCCACAAGACAGGTTTGGCGCGCGCCATCCAACAGAGCATCTGCTGGGCGTCGCTATTACTTACGAGTCCTATCACACGACGACCAGTAATAACGCTTTACTAGTCTGTTAAGGCACGTTCGCACAGTTCCTAAATTATCCGAAATACTCCAAAATACATGGTCGTAAACAGCTGGAACGCAATTGCGCCGAGGGTGTCCAAACTGAGAGTTAGCATGCTTGGCACAATAATTACATCATAGCCGGCGACACTGCCGCACCTCATATAGCCCGCTTCTCACATGTTACGATGTCGTGGTTTCTTCAGTCTGCTCTGCTGATACCCACTCATTAGCGCACATGCGGCTAAGCCAGTTGTGTGGCTTGCACACCTTCAAAACTCCTGCAGCACATGCTGTACCTTGACAAGCTGAGGCATCCACCCAGGTTGTCTTCTGTCTACAGACACGGAAACCGAGCTCCACGTGCCTGTTGCAGCGCCGAGATTCTTCGAACCATCCAGACCGTCTTCTGAATCCTCGTACTCGTAACATGGTTCATGTTCGTGCGAGGCCACGAACCGCTCGAATACTTTGAGAGGCTAACCTGAAGCGATAGTTTCCACCTGTCCTTGGCAGCGAGGGCAGAGGCGCCGGGTTGCACAACACACCGCCAGACCGGTGATCACAGAAAACACTTCACCAACATTGGCAAAACGAAGGTTCTACTGATGCTTTCGAAAGATACTGAAACGTCTGTTTCGCATCTTAGCTAGGGCCTGAAACATGTCATCCGTGAACCGCGAAAGCTCTTGGGCCTTTACACTGAAACGCCGCCTCGTGCAACTGCACTCACCGAGGACAGGCGTACGGTTAACTCCTATGCCATGCTGGAGACAGGACAAGGGCTGGTCTACGCCAAACCTGGTTTCCACAGGTCGCATACTCATGCACGCAGGGCTATGGGCTCAAATGTCGGGCTATGACGAGTCCTTTCTGCCAATGGTGTATCAGGAGCTTGGTAGCATACAAAAAGCATTAAAACTCTTGAAAGTCAGTGTTGCCGCTGGTGAGACGCAACGACCCGACGGACGGGAGAAGCAAGGTCCAAAACACCGATTGTCCCTGCGATGCCTTGGGACGCGATGAACAAGCAGAACATGCAACTGGCTCAAGAAAAATGCACAGAAGAGTGTCACAGAAGAGGACAGCAATGCTGCCCTCAGTATGGTTTCTTCCAGTCGGTTTCCGCCACCTTGCTCCGGCTTTAACGCGGCTTACGCCGGTGCCCGGTACCGCTGACAGGAGTGATCTGCAGAAGAACCATAAAACAGATTTCGGCTTGAGCCTTCGTGCGAAGTTTCTTTGGAGCAGAGGCCCGAGTCTCTACACAAGCAGCAGCTGAATTAGCTCACAAATCGCAACAAGAAACAATTGAGTCTGTTGCCCAAGAGTGGCGGAGAAATACCAGAGATGACGAGGAGCAATCAATTCCAACAGACCGGATTTTTGGCTGAAGGATGCCATGATGTCTCTTGGATTGACATGCCGTTCAGGGAGATGACACATGCAAAAGACACTTCGTGCAAGAACTTGATCAAAAATGTTGCCGAGTCACAGAAGCTTCCCGATTGCAACTTTACGTCCTGGAGGCAGAGCGCCGGGCAGGCGAGCCACTGCCCGAAGAAGCGCAGAGGTGTTCCCACAAGGGGTCGCTGCGTTTGTTGCTACTCCATCTGGTACCCAGCGCAATGCGCTTCGGCAAGACGTGTTTAGTCATGACACCCATCGGACTGCCAATTTTCAACAACGTTCTGATAAGAGCACGAAAGGCCGTGCAGCTTAGAAGGTCGCCGGACAATGAAACCCTCCATTGCGACACATTCTGTTCAAGCCGAGCTGTCCCAGCTATAAAGGTTT